AAAAAAAAAAAAAAAAAAAAAAAAAACGAGTCAACGTCCCACTTAACCGGGGCCCGTTTAATCGGGGGACTGAATTCTTCGTTGGGGGTGACCACAAGGTCCCATTTAACCGGGACCGAGTTCTTTTTTTTTTTTTTTTTTGGACGAATTCCTAGTTGAGGCTGACCGGTGATCGAAATTGTTGTCGTTCGCGGTTCGCAGTCAGATACATTTAATTAAGATAGAGGTGCGACCGCGGGAAGAAAGAAAAAAGGGGGAGAGTCTTAGGGCATATACTCACACAGGCACTTTTTCAACTCACTTCTGGACGGAATTCCGGCCACATGCATACAGGTCCGGCCGTGGTCAGATACATTTAAGATAAAGCTAGAGTGAGTGGGCGGCCTTAGCTCGGCGGGTGAAACGGAGACTCTCGGGCCCGGTAGGCCCGACGTTCCTTTTTTGTTTTTTAAATATTTTTTTGGTCTTTTTGGTGGGACTACCGCTTGGATGATGAATCTGGGCGAAATTTGAGTGCAGATACTATCGCGACAGTCCCAGCTAGTCGGGAATGAAAGAATGCCCAGATTGAAATTTATTCTTATTTGGAAGTATTTCCCTGCTTCTTTTTTTCGTTTTCTCTTTCGTAAAACTAAACTATATTCTTCTCTCGATTTGTTTTTATTTTGTTTTCACCTTTGACGACCTACCTACCAGTACTACTCCTAAGGCTATACAGGGGACCCCTCGCTGCTTCGGTTTTTTTTTTTTTTTTTTTTTTTTTTTCGGTGGAAGCTTGGGCATTCTGTGTCGTACTCACGTTGGCCAAAGTCAGACGCCCTTTTTCTTTGTTTTTTTTTTTCCCTTCAGGAAAATTGATTGAATCAGTATTATCATTCGAGAGGGCATATGATAAGTATCACATTCGATCATAGACTAATTTGTATGCATTTTTTATTTTTTTTTATTTTTTTGGGGGGTCTAATTTTTAATACCGTGCTTTGGTAACCCAGGTATTAATTAATTAATAATTAGTATATTTCGCGCATTACATTCATACCGCCTGGTCATTGAAAATAGGTAGCTCGTCAAAACCCGACCAAACAATCATCTTTCTTATTCTTGCCTTTTTCTCCTTGTCACATCGGAGCTATCGATTCGAAAAAAATTGTATATGAAAAAGAGAATCTTTCTATCTATCTATTCCTCTATCTTATCTATCTTTATATCTATTTAGTCTTATATATTCTATTCATTTTATTTCTTCTTTATCTATTCTATCTTATCTATAATATTATATATGTGGCAGCTCTGTTTGACTAGATATATATATATATATATGATTGCGTAGTTATGTAAGTTCAAAGCCACGCCACATGTAGCACGAATCCAGTCCATTTCTGTGAGAAGATGCATCGTATGTTAAAAAATATTAAAATATTTTTAAAAACTTATGTTGAGTGAATGGTTGATGGGTTGATTGGTTGGTCGATTGGCTCACTGGTTAGCTGATTGGTTGGTTGATTGGTTGGTTGGTTGATTGGTTGGTTGATTGGTTGAGTGAATGATTGGTTGATTAATTGGGTTTGATTGGTTATTTGATTGATTGGTCTTTGATTGACTCCTTGCCGATGTGACACGGTGGGGTCGACAAATTTTGGCGGGAAGTTTTCGGACTGCTTTCGCGCGTTTCGGGCTCTCTGATATGTTTCGGATAATGCCGAAATATATATCCGACAGCACGGAATAATGGCGGGAATTCTTCGGATAATGCCGAGCTTCTGACATTTGACGATCATCCACGTGTCATCTCGACAGGCCATCAAGCCTTGCAGGTCGAACAACTCGCTCTCACGCCGGCTGCTGCTGCTGCTGCTGCTGCTGATCAGGAAAGCTCGTTGACGTACGTGTTAATTAACGAGCTCGTGATTGGTAAATGCGTGAGTGATGGAGGTGGTGGGAACAGCATGAGACTTTGTGCACGCGCACAAACACACACACACACACACACACACACACACACACACACACACACACACACACACACACAGAGAGAGAGAGAGAGAGAGAGAGGTTGGCAGAGTGATTGCAAAAACATTCAGGCCTTCAGGCGATAAGCGGACCAATCATCGAAGGACACGTCAGAAGGAAAGATTGCTGATGGGGGGGTGTTACATTTAAATAAACGTTGAACTGTGGATGGATTGATTGATTGATTGATTGATTGATCGATTGATTGATTGATTGATTGATCGATTAATGGATTGATGGACTGATTGGTTGGTTGGTTGGTTGGTTGATTGGTTGATTGGTTGATTGATTAAATCCGCTGGTCAGTGCATGTGTGCTTCCTGATACCGTTCTCCTCTGTTCTCTCTCTCGCCCCCCTCTCGCTCTGCGTTCTCGGGGATTTTTCTTCTTCTCCTCCTCGTCTCTGTATTGCTCCGCCCTCATCGCAAAGAGGCTGGCTAAGAGACACGTGGGAGGATGAGTGGGTAAATTCATACTACCACTGTGGCATCGCCTGACACGTGGCACGAGGCTAGCGATGGGAGAGGCCTTGATCATTCATTGAGTCCAATGTGGATTAGGACTATTGCATCGCGCCGTATCGTATGTGCATTCACATCCAACCACATTGAGAGGGAGCGAGCGAGCGAGCGAGCGTGAGAGAGAGAGAGAGAGAGAGAGAGAGAGAGAGAGACACAGAGAGACACAGAGAGACACAAAGAGACACAGAGAGAGACACACAGAGAGAGAGAGAGAGAGAGAGAGAGAGAGAGAGAGAGAGAGAGAGAGAGAGAGAGAGAGTTGATAAAGTGGTTCGTCAGTGTGACTAGCTAAAGGGAAGTGGTTCGTCAGTGTGACTACCTTAGCCAAAGGGATCGCTGTTGGGAGGTCTGGACGACGAAAGGGGGGGGGGGGGATTACCATCGCTTTGTTGCTCTCGCCCCGTGGGAGAGAGGAGCTGGAGGAGGAAGAGGGAGAGAGAGGGGGGGGGAGTGCACACACGGCAGGCCAAGATATCCGCTGGAAAGAGGCGAAGACAAAGCGAGCAGTCAATCTTTTGAGCTAGGAGGAGGAGGAGAAAAAGGGACGAGGAGAAGGAGGAGGGAAAAGAGAGGAAGAAGATGGAGCGTGAGACTGGCGACGGAGACTCCGAGGTGGTTTCCCAAACAGATATTAGTTTTCAGGAACTTCATGGACGAGGAGGAGAAGGAGGAGAAGGAGGAGAAGGAGGAGGAGGAGAAAGAGGAGAAAGAGGAGAAGCAGGGGCGGAAGGAGGTCAACGAGGAGAAGGAGGAGGGGGAGGAGAAGGACAAAGAGGAGATGGAGGAGAAGGAGGAGAAGGAGGAGGAGGAGAAGGAGAAGGTGGGAGATCTGGGAAGGTGCGAGAGCGAGGGTCCAGGAGTGGGGAACTACGCAGTCGAGGGGAATCTGATTACAGAAGTCGGTCAAGGCAGCTGAAGAAAACTATATTGCAATTGAAGGAGAAAGTTCAGGAGAAGCGCGCCAAGCTTTCAGCGGAAAATTTGAGATATTGCGCAAGCAGGCGGGCTATAAGACCGGTGGATCTTTCCGAGGATGACGTGACATGTGCACGTGTGCTCAGGGTACGGTGAGTTCGTTTTCTTTTTTGTGTGTGTGTGCGTGTTTATTTTTATGTTTATTTTTGTTTTTCGTTGTTTGGTCGGTAAAAAACAGCATTCAGCATGAGAATGGACGTTGTGTTTTTATGTTTATTTTTATATTTATTTTTATATTTATTTTTATATTTATTTTTATTTTTCGATGTTTGGTCGGCAAAAAACAGCGTTCAGCATGAGAATGGACGTTGGAGATACACCACGTCATTCAGTTCAAGAATTCAAATTTATTTTTTTAAATGAAGTTCCAGTGCAGTGTTGGATATTTTTATTTGAATTAAACTAGGCTACCAGCCGGGCCGCCCGGGTCACCTTGTTTTCCCGAGCGGCCCGGCTGTGTAAGGACCAGGGAAGGTCCCAGCAAAAAGAAAAAAAAAGAAAAAAAAAGAAACCGAAAAGAACTGTGTTATGCAGAAAAATAAACTGAACAACTTTTGCCTTAGCGTTCACATCGAAATTCTTTACCGAAGTTTTTAAAAATATATATGTATTATGTATATATATTTGTAAATTATATATATTAGAACTGCCCGGTAAACCGTAGGCAGAGAGGGAGAAGAGGACAACAAACGAGGGGTATATATATATAATATATTTGGGGGGGGGCCCAGCCGGGCAAACGGGCCACTTTGGTAGCCTGGGTATTAAATTGAAATTTGAAAGAAATTTAAAATTTCAAATAAATTAAATTTTAAAATAATGTAATTGAAATGTCCGAGAGGATGACGTGACATTTGCACGTGTGCTCAGGGTACGGTGAGTTCTTTATTTTATTTTGATTTTCCGTTTGTTTTTATACCATTTGAATCGTCTCATGAACTCTTTTTTTTTAATGTAGTGTAAGCTTGCAATTAGTGTTGAACGAGTTCGAAATAATTTAATATAAATGAGAAACGTTTAATATCTGTGGTTGCTGTTTCTTCCCCTCATCGTGGGTCGGCCTCTAACATTTCACTTTTTTTATATTTATTTTTTCCGGAGAACTTTTGACAATGGATGCAATTTTTTAAATTCTATTTACATTCATTCTGCTTAATATTTTTTATTATTTTTTTTCTTTTACGTATTCTGTTCTGCAATCTGGTCCATTTCCACCCCNTTTTTTTGGAAACATAGTTACATAGTGGTATTCTGATATATGATGTGATACTTCGTAGAAGCAATTAGTTAACAACATTACCCAAAAAAAAAAAAAAAAAAACGCAACGAGTAAACATCATTGCATTCGCAAAGTAAAACACAGTACAAGATGTACATCGAATGCATGTCCCAGGGCGAGGTCCCACTAGCAAAGAGGATTGGATTGGAGATCTGAATCTGGACGTGTTTATGGAAAGGTGCGGAATGTCGAGATTGAACTGCATTTCTGTATGTCTGGCTGAAACACGACGTCCAGATTCAGGATATTTATCCAATCCCCTTTGCTAGTGGGACCTTGCCCCCGGGGCACGGTTCCACTACCGTTTTCACCCGAATAGAACGCCCGGTCATTATATAGTCGTATTTGATGCAACTTTCAGTCCAGATGCAGGCAGCATTAATTACCGGGCGTTCTGTTCAGGTAAAGTGTTCGACGGCGGCACCTGTGGGACGTCTGTGGGACATCCACCAGCCGTTGGTGCATTGAAATCGGAGGGCAGCAAAATCAAGATGGTTGTATATTTCGAAGTTGTGTTTTAATTTTGATTTTGTTGCTTTTCTTTTTTTTTTTCCGAATATTAGGATGTTGAAAAGAGAAAATAGCAAGTCCCTTTTTGATTCTCTCCAACACGAAAAAGAAAATCACGTACTCGAAGACGTTGGTATTGACTGTGCTTTTTTTTTTTCTTTTTCCGGTCAATAGCAAGCCCTGCGAGTACTTTTTTTTTCTTTCGTCTTCTTTTTGTTCCTCTTTTTTTTTTTTTTTTTTTCCCGGTCAATAGCAAGCCCCTCGAGTACTTCATTTTCTATGAAACTAGAAGATTCTGCTCGTCTGAGAATGAAACCGTCACTAACGTTGTCCCGTCAGTCACACTAAGGGACTCGTCGGTCGGTAGTTGGCTTTCGATTTCTGTCTTTTTTTTTCTTTTTTTTTTTTTTCCCGTCTCTGCCGTTTCCTGCCTCCTTTTTGTTTTTTCCCTGTGTTGCTTTTTTCCCTGTTGTCCCTTTTTTTTTTTTTTTTTTTTAAATGAACATCTGGGGCACTACTAGCTGTGGTGATAAGAGCACTGGCTCCATTCTTTTTTTTTTTTTTTTTTTTTGTCTATTTGTGAGGAGCTGCACATGCTGGGAACCGCCGGGCCCAGCGTCCCATAAATATCCAATCATAGTAACAGTTAAAAAGCTGCACAGCTCTCAGGCCTGTTGTCACTATTTTCAGATTTTTTTTTTTTTTTTTTTTTTTTCCCCTTTTAAGAAGTTGGACCATTTCTGGATTCATTCGTGTCATCCTTCCCGGGGCTAAGTCCCACTAGCAGCGTTGAGTATATCCTCAACGTCTGAATCTGGACGCTTTTACGGAGATGTGCAGAAATGGTGTTGAGTTTCCTGAACTGCACGTCTCCACAAACACGTCCAGATTCAGGCGTTGAGGTAGCTCAACGCTGCTAGTGGGACTTGGCCCCCGTAGGGCTCGTTTGGTAATTACCCTTCTCTGTATTTTTAAATTATCGTTACAATTTCAACGGATGTCCCGCCCGAAGGAAAGCTTTTTTTTTGTTGTTGGGGGGGGGGGCCCAGGGGGKGGGGGCAGTGATAAATTTTTGTACGGAAGGATCATTAAACGAAAAGAAAAAAAAACGAAAAAAAACTGTACGGGCTTCTTTGTGAGGTTGCCCGGAGGTTCTCATTTGAAGTGAAGTTTGGGTCCTTAGGGGGGAAAAAAAGAACAAAGAAAGGGGGCCGGGAGGGGGAAGAGCGCGCAGAACTCAATGATAGCAAGCAAGCGCCCTATTTTCTTCACACCCCCCGCGGCGCTCAGTCTCTTTGCGCCCTTCCGCTTTTTTTCGACTTTGTTTAATTTTTAAACAAATCAATTCCACTATATTCCCCCATGAAAAATATAGACTGACTGGCTATGCACATCGGAGTAGCAACAGTCCTGGCTATACATCCGATTAGTAACAGTCCTGTTACTTGTTAAAAATATTCCGCCAATTATTATTTATTAATAATTATAGCAATTCGGCAGGAGATTAAGTTGCTAATTCCGTCTTTTTTTTTCTCCTTCTTTTTTTCTCTTTTTTTGGGCTAAGCCCCAAACGTTACCGTATTTAATATTTATCTGATTCCATCCGGATTCGAACTCGTGATCTGTTATTTACTAACAGTTAACATGTTGTAACTTCGTACTAGTTAGCCAAATCCCCTGCCAGTGGGTGGAGGGAGTTTTCTTGCACAAATAGTGTTCAGCGTTTGGCACGTATATATGTATATATGTATTATTCATATACATGACACACGGGGGTGGGGACAGCCGCCGCTCAACCTACATCCACGTGGGCGGCCTTGTACGCAAGAGGTTCTGAACAGGGGGAGCCGTAAGGAAGAAGATTAAAAATGAACTGATTTTTATTTTATTTATTTTTTATTTTTTTCGCTTTTGCGCTCTGATATTTATGTGATATATGACCTTTCTTTGTTTCGTGGATGTTTTGCTGGCTTGTGATGGGGTGTGAACCGACAGTCTGTAGAGTTTTCCATCTGGTGTGGGTGAGTGATAGTCTACTTTGATTTTGGTTAAGGTAGATTATCATTTACAGTGTAATCAGTGAGGGGATTCTGCAGACTGTTGAGGGTTCAGCCTCCTGATGAGTCGGTGAAACTCCGAC